TTTATGAAGATATTTTACCTGAGCCCTCTGAATTCCTGTTCTAATGTGGACAAGAAGCTTCCCAGGCCCACCACCTAGCTGTCAACCTGGATGGCTTCAATTGCACCCCCGAGTCAAGGCCACTGGTCCTTAGATTCTGCTTGGCTTTGATTTATCCTTAAGTAATGTTTTTCATAAAGGGTGAATGAAAGGTAAATTTTCTAAGTTCTTTCATTCTGAAAGTGTCTGTAGTCAGCTGATAATCTGGCAATTTACAAAATTCTAGGTTGAAAGCCATGCCTTGTTGGAATTTTGAAATGTTCTAGCAACAATATTGCTGATGAGAAGTGTGACACAGACCTGAGATTTGTAACAGGTAAACTGTGGTATCTGTATCTTTGGTGTTCTTAAATTTCTCAAGGATGTGGATTGGGGGCAGGCCCTTTTCATTCACCTTGACTCATTCCTAATGGGCCTTTTTATGTGCAGATTGCATCTCCTTCCGCAGCTAGAAGAGACTGTACTCCACATACTATGACAAGGTGTGTAATATGATTATCTTCTTTTTCTCAGGTGGACACCTTGTCTCAGGTCACACATTTCTAGTGGCATAGCTGGGAGGCGATCCAGCCTGCATGCTCCTGACACCAATCTGCTGTGCCCTACAGAAAAATGAGCCCAATTAACACAATTTATTAAAAGGTGAGTCTTTCCTCTCTTCCTCACTAATGGTGGGCATTTTAAACCTTTCTTAACAGAATCATCTCGTTATTGTTTTACTTTGCATATATTTATTTAATGAGGCAAATTAAGTGGTTTTTTAGAGGCTTTAAAAAATGAATTTATTGGGCCGGCCAAGTGGCGCGTTGGTTAAGAGCTGGCTTGGGACGCCAGAGGGCCCTGGTTCAGATCCCACATGAGGGCCAGTCACACTGCCCTCTACAGCTAAGATGCTGAACAACAGCTCGACCTGGAGCTGGGCTGCCATGAGTAGCCGGCTACGGCCTAGGCTGCAGCCCCTGCTGCAGTGGGCTGCTATAAGCTACCGTGAGTGGCTGGCAGCCAGCGTGAGCTGCCAAGAGCTGCCGTGAGTGCCTGTCCAATGACCAGCGACGGATCTGCCTCATCCAGGAAGAGTGCAATGATAAACCAACATGGGCCAGTGAAGCGACGCCCTCCACAACTAGACTGAAGAACAAAAGTACAGCAACTTTTCTGTTCCCCTTCCCCAATTCCCCAATGCTGTTCCCCTCCCACAATTCCCCAATAAAATCTTTAAAAAAAAATTTATTAACAAACCGCCTGCTTCAGAGCTTAGCCGTGTCTCCTACTAGATATTTCCTCTTTCTTACTGACTTATAAGATATTTTTGTGTATTAAGAATATCAATTCTTCATCATATTTGTCAAATACCATTTTTTAACAGTTTATCATGTCTTAACTATATTAATGGTGGGTTTTGCCTAGCATTCTTACTTTGTGTGTAGTCTAACCTGTAAGATTTTTCCTTTGATTGTTCTGGCTCCAGTGCCACAATATGAAAGCCTTTCTCCAACACAAGACGTAAATTCCAACTTAACATCTCCCATTTTAGGTTGTTATGTGTTGTCCCTGTGTTGCAGGTTGACAATACAATTAAAGATGGCCCATCTTCAAAGAATATCCCATTTCTGAATGTGACTATACTTTTAAAAAGCAAAAAATTATCTTTATTTGTAAATTACCTGCATTTGTAAAGCTTAAATACTATGTTTTTTATCAAAAAACACGAATACATAGTTTTTACAAGAAAGTAATTCTTCCAACCTAGGAAAAACAGTGGAAGAATGGAAAGTTTAAACAGTCTAACTACCCGAGAGTGACTATATATGCTTAGAGTTAAATTAACAATTTTCAAAGATCTGAGTTATGGTGAGCATTAGCTTGAGAAGTAGAATATTTAAAGGCCTGTCANAAGAACAAAGCTGGATGACTGACACTAACTTCAAGACTTACCATAAAGCTAGACAACGTGGTATTGGCAAAAGGATAGACACTCTATTCAGTGAAACCAAACAGAGTGCCCCAAAATAAACCCACATAAATACAGTCAACTGATGTCTGACAAAGGTAAAAAACAATACAACGGAGCAAAGATTTTCTTTTTAACAAAT